AATATTGGGTGACAAATATGCTTTTCACATGTAAAAAAATTCTAAGTCCCTAGGATATCTAATAAAAATTGATATTCGAAGGGTGTGACACACGGTGATAAATACACTACCCTTGAAAAACCCTAATTCTAACCCCTGCGGTATAGGTTACGGTGTTCAACACCACTGGTGTGATATGAAGTTTTTGAAATATTAATAGTAATAAAATATTGAAATAATTAGTGTTTAAAAAAAATAAATAAACCAGAGATTTAAACTGTTAAAAAAAATTAATATTATACTGGTTAAATAATTATTATTATTAAAGAAAGTTACTTATGAGACAAGTTTTTTTTTTATTAAACTTGTTACTAATTTTTTGAAGATTTTTGTGTAATATAACCAATTTTGGCAATTAATATATATAAAACAGTTTTTAAAATCTATTAAGTTTTTTTTGATTATCATTGAATCTAGAGATAAAAATTGTATATTGTAAACCCCTGAAATTTCTTTGTGGCTGTCTCGACAAATCAAAATGAAGTATAATTAATAATCAGATGAGAACACACCCCTTTATACGTGACCAAAAAAAAAAATTTGCCTCCTATAAGAAAATAAAATAAACACTTTCCAAAGACAAGAAAAAGAGTAAAGTCTGTTTCATCCCCTATTTTCCAATCACATCATTCACAACTATGGGTTCATACGAATGTGACACACAGCGAACGAATCCGACAGGAAAGAGTAACCACGTCGCCACGGACGTAGCAGAAACAGAAGTAGTAAAAAACCTCAAAACTCAATATAAAAATGAATTATCTAAACTACAAGAACTATTCGAGGATTGGACGGAAGCAGATTTGCTCTTTGCACTACAAGAGGCCTCAGGGGACCTCGAAGTTACGGTTACTCGAATTAGTGAAGGTTTGTTTCATTAAAATTTATTAAAAAATGATTTTATATTACGAACATTAGTGATGATGTTTTTGCCTAATAAACACGAAAATTCAAAATTAACGTTGACGAATGACTTCGAATTTATTTTTTATTACTTGAATCCTTTTTCTGCAATGACTTGTTTTAACATTATTTAATATATTGAAAAAGACATTGCACGTGTAACACGCGGCTTTCTATAATAATAAAATCAATATAAATTATTTATATATTATTAATCATTTTATATACATTACCGTTGTTTGGAATTTTTTAACTTATATTGCGATAAAAATATTTAAATATTGTTCTTTAAATATTTTTTTTTGTTATACAGGTCACACTACTCAATGGGGTGAAGTTAAATCTCGTAAATCTAAGAAAGAACACATTAGTAAGGTTAAGGAGAGTGGACAACAATCTGGAAGCTCTCAACGTGGTCATCAACGAGGTGGTTATAGTGACCGTGGCCGGCCCCGCGGTGGTACGCATATCAGAATAATTTCATTGGTAAAAATTATCTTGATAAATAAAGAATTTTGAATAATAATTATTTTCATTTAACTTGCCTTGTATTATAGAAGGCGGATTTCGTGGCGGAAGTCGTACTCGGGGGAGAAGGGAAAATGGTTCGGGTACGGTTTTTGATTTAGGAATTTATTACAAATATTTAAATGTTTTTTAATATTTATGATTTGGTGTTATATTTATTATTTAAAGGCTATACTCGACCTCCACGTCAACAACACAATGGACCTAACCCCTCTAATTCCGATGACACAACTAATGGTGCCCAATCCAAATTGGGTACTGAAAATTCGAGCAACAACGACAGTGTTGGTGGTAATTCCAATGAAAGTTGGTCCGATTCTAAAGGTCCCGCTTGGAGCATTGACAACAGTAATACCACCAGTGACTGGAGTGCCGAAAATCCGACCCAAAGTTCATGGACTAATGACGATAATAACAAAGTCAGTTGGGATAGCAGCATGTCCACCGATAAAGGTCCAAATAATTGGGCTAACGATGTTTCTACAGACAATTCCCAAAAGGTACGGAATGGGGATGGTTGGACAATCGAAAATTCAACAGAGAATTTTAAAGAGAACCGGGCAACCGACAATGCTATTGATAATCTTGGAGTAAGTCGGGAATCTGATAAATCCACAGATAATACAAAGCATGTACGCGAGCCCAATATTGTTAAGGAAAATATTAATACCTGGGACACTGGTACTTCCAAAGATAGTTGGAGTGTGGAAAATAATTGGACTTCAGATACACCTCCAGAAAATTGGGGGAATGAGAATTGGAGTTCCGATGCTTCTAAAAATGGTAAGAATGCAAAGGACACACAACGATCTCCAAATCCTAATGCGCCCAGGTCAATCACTGCAACAAAATCATCCGTATCTCACAAATCACGGACAATTCCTTCGCAGCCCAAAGCATCTTGGGCTCAAATTGTGAAGTGTGTATTAAAATAATTCAATTTTGGAAATCTAGTTTAATACATAAAAAAAAATTGATTGTTAATTATATTTAAAAATACATTGTGATGGCTCAATAGGCCTGAATTAAAACCAGAACCAAAACCGGAACCTGTTTCATCCCCTGTACACAAGGGTTCATCGGAAATCGTAAAATCAGTATCTCCACAAATATCGAAATCTCCATTAATCCCTGTGCAAACTTCACCGACACCCAAAGCGTCCGAACCAATTAGTGTACCATCACCAGAAACAGTGTCGAATGCTATCGCTGTAAAAATAGAGGAAGCTAAGGAATTAAAAGAAATTTCTTCGCCGGAAGAATCATCACCTACCCCTGTCGTTTCTTCGCCGGTTGTTAATGCTTCACCACGAACAAAAGAAATTTCATCACCTGGTATTCTTCATAAATCCAAGACAGGAGCACCTTCGCGTAGATTAAAGCAAGATGCAGCTGTAGTAATGCCAAGTGCAGGAGCTGGTTTGGAAAGAGTTGGTGTTCAATTTGGAAGCTTAAGTATTTCTAATACTGGTGAAGAGGTTACCGAGATAGAAACACCAGTATCACCTCAAGCTCAAAAGGCCGAAGAACGATCGTCTGTTAATGGTGAAAGTCCACAAATATTATCTTCTCAAACTACACCAATCCAACAACAACAGCAATTACAACAAATCACATCTCAACAAACATTACAGCAGCAAGCACCGCAACAGATACAACAAAGTTCTCAACAACAATCACAACAACATCAATTACAACAATTACAACAACAATCACAAACAACTCAACAATCATCTACTATTACTTCTCTTCCTCAAACAACGAATTCAGTAAATCGGTCAATATCCAGTACATCAACACAATCGACACAGAATAGTTCATCTTTACAGTCATCGTCATCCGTAAACAGTGCTCCATCTGCTACACCATTGACCACAACTACTGCTCCAACTCCACAAAATTTTAATCCTACATATTTCAAACAACAGCAAGAACAAACCTCTGGAACCTATATAAATCAGCAACCTCATCTAGGATTAACAGCAGAACCATTAAACGCTCCGTACGGCTCATATTTACCTAGTCAACCACCTAGTCAATTATCAGGATTTGGAATTGGACCAATTCAATCGTTACCAGAATATGGAGCGTTATATGGTCCAGAAGCTGCTCAACGCATGATGGTATTTTTGAATTAAATTATAATGTCAGAAATGTCATATAATAATAATAATCTTTTTTACCTAAATTTGTGATTTTTAATTTTGTAGGGATATTATGCTACTGATCCATCATATGGTCAAGCATCGCCGGTAACTACAACTGGATATCAAAATCGGGATAACAACAAATATGCACCTGATACGACAAATAATTCTTCAAGCCAAACATCCAATCAACAAACTACTGGAGCTCAGCAACAATCTACAAATCAACAAGGGCAAAATCCTCAACAACAACAGGCCTATCCACTAGGAGTTCCTTATTATCCATATTATTATATGAATCAATTTCCTTCGGCCTATCAACAATCTGGATATGGACAACCTTTTAAATCTATGTATCCTATGTATAATCATCCTCACTCGAGCAAACCTGGGTCAGCCTCAGGTGCATCACCATATGGTTACCCTACAACGCCTACCACACCAAACACACCACATCATTATTCACATACGTCCACAACAGGATATGATGAGATTACTGCAGCACAGATACATCATCTTCCTGGAGTACCTAGTGTTCATGAATATCCGAAAAACTATGGTGGTGGTATTCCACCACTTAATTTCCTAGGTAATACTTCCGGAAATACACCTCAACCCACTTCCGGAGCTTCAGGATCAACAACTACAGGAGGAGGAAAATCAAGTAATAATAGTAATTCGGAATTAAATTCACCTGCTCAATACAAGGGATATAATGAAAAGACTTCGACAACTACCCAACAAAGTGGTCAATCTGGAACCCAACAACATCAGCATCAGCAACCTACTAATCCTAATTATTATGGACAACAGGCTCAACAAATGTTTAATAGTTACCAATACCCTCAAGCACACCATCAGTATCACCCACATCAAGCACATCATCAAGCATCTGGTCGTAATCAGCAACAATATTGGAGTAGTCAAAGTTAATTTATTTTTACGTTTAGGAAAGAGATAAATTTGAGATTCATAAAAAAGAGAATATTAGGATGAAAAAAAGTGTTTATTGTGTGGTCGGACATTTTTTTTATTAAATGCACTCATCGATGGTTATTATGGTTAAGGTCTGTCAACAGAAGATCAACATTCATGGTTTGAGACATTTATATTATTAATTTTACAAATGGTAATTTTTTTTTTCGAGTGGTCAAAGCTTTGTTTCTTTTTTTGTAAGTTTATTTCTTTAGATATATATAATACATATATATATTTTGTAAAAAATTTTTCATCATTTACCAAAAATCAAATCACCCACTCTCATCCATCATCAACCATGTATATCACAAAAACAATTTCAAACTTTTAATGTTATGTTCATCAACACAAAAAGCAATATTGTCATATGACATTGTGTATAAAATTATTTCTAAATATATTTTTTTAAAAAAATTTTCTATCACAAACATTGTGTATCATGTGATTTGTATAAAGTAATGAATACTAAACTTGGTTTATTAAAGTTATATTTCTCGGATATTTAATAAAGTATAGTATTTCCGAGAATAATTTTCGAAATTAAAACCTAATTTTACTGGTGTCATCAGAAAAGGTAATAAAATGGGCAAGAAAATGCACTAGTTAAATTTTTGTCTATCAACAATCAAAGCCCTAGTGTATCATGATGGCCAAACAATGTCTAATAATAATGTATAGGTATTAACGCATCAATGGTATTTACCAAAAATCGATATCGCAAATGTAATACTAAAAAGAGTATTAGAACTACTAGTCATTGGTTTCCTTGCTGATGATATTTTATAGTATATGGATATGGGCAACTATTAAATAGAGATTGCCCGAGGTTTTTTTTACTAACAATCTCACTCAATCTAACATTAGTATTAACTTAGAAAAGCATATGACACAAGTACTAATAGTGATGCTAAATTATTTACTTCTAATTGAAATATGTAATGTAGGTTGTGTTGTATGGCCGATATTATTAAGATAAGCAAAGTTACCACCGTGAATATAATTTCTTTTGGTCTGAAAATTATTTAATATTCTTATTTTTGGATCTACTATTGTGCATTTGAAATATAAAACTAGAAAATGGAAACCATTGTGAATCCAGAGAAATAAATATTTTTTATTTTTATTTTAATGGAACTGATGACTATACATGTTTTCAAATAAAATGTATATTATAAAAAAAGTGCCTAGTCTAATGTATTTTAGTTAAAGAATTTATCTAAGTAATCAAAATTTTGGATTCCATATAAAATAATTTTGTCTTCTATAAAAAATAGTTTGTTCCTATTTTATTTTGTTTTTCAATACTATATGAAATTTTGGATTCAAGTATAGTCATGACTGAAAGAAGTTCATTTGTAAGGTTGTGTTTTGTGTAATTGGCATTGTAACAAAAAAGAAGGGGTTGATGGTTAGCAATCAAAATAACTGATGTTCCAAACAGAATAATACTTACAATTGTATTTGCATTCCTTTTATCCTATCTTCATGTCATATATGACTAGGGTTGTTAATAGAACATAATGGGTTGGGTTGGGTTCATATTATAGCGGAGCAATGGTCAACCCAACCCAACCCG